ATCTAGTGCTACAAAAAAAGGGCTACTTCTGCGTATAGCCAGGGTGACTGGAGGATTATAGTGAGGGCTTCCCCGCCCGGTAACTAATCCGTGTGGGCCCCTCACTCCTCTATCGCATCGCATACATGTTGAGACTCTGTTTGTGGGTGGTAGTATTCTCTTATGAGAACATAACCACATCAGCATGTTTTTCGTCTTGCCTTTTTCATTAAGGTTAACTGATCAGCATGCTGTTTGCCGTCCAGGTGATGGCCACATTCACTGTCTCGCATGCCTGGCAGCTTCTGGATGGGATGCTGATCATTCTCATGATAGTCCTAGCATTTCATTCGGGGCTCCAGGAGAGGATAGACGTCGATTGCTACATCAGAGAGAGGGTTGTTACTCTCTGGAGATGAAGATGATGCTGAGCTCCCACTATAATGGTGTGCATGCTCATGCTGAATCAGATTCAGACTTGACAGCCATGCTTTCTCGCGTTACACTGGGGGGCGCAGCGCGACGCGTAATCACCTTGCCCCGCCAAGCCAAACGTGCCAAAAGCTGCAGAAAGTTTTTCCTCTCTCACTACCCTCAATGGTGGGGCTGCAGTGCTACTGCAGACAGCCTCTTCCCTGCAGGGTAGTTCTGAGTCGAGTTTAAGCTGTGCCTGGTGGCTGACCGTGTTTAAAGTCACAGCGCTGTCACAGTTGATGTCCACCCTAGTGGTCAAGAAGCGCCCCCTGGCTAAACTTTGCAAAGATATGAGACATCGCCAAAGTTCGCTTTCTCGATGCTCCCATCTCACGAGGTGGCCTTTCGGAGACACTGTTGGAGACTGTGCCCAGCGGTTCTCCGCAGTTCAAAAGCAGGCTGAGGTAACCAAAAAGCTTGCCACAATGTGCTCCGTGAGTCACTGCTGGGCTGCCCCCCAGTCTGTTTGTCGCCAAGGGTGTCAGTCCCCTGCAAAAAAAAAAAAAACTCTGCCACAGCCAGCTGTGACGTTAAGCTTTCGCAGGAAGACGGCACCACCCGTCTCAGGAGCCCTGAGACGGGCGACCCAGAGTCAGCTGCTCTTTCCCGGAGGAGGGCCGGGCGGAGAACTTTTGTTGAATCATTCTGTTCCGCCACTGGCGTCTCAGCCAGCGGTACCAAATTCTCAGCAAAGGCAGCTTCTCTATTTCTGGGTCCCAAGAGAGAGAGGTTGGCGGTGTGCAAAGCTATGCCTTTCCACCCTCTGCCCCCTCTTGGTTCGCCAGCGGTAGCCTGATGTGCTCGAGGCCACGCCTATGCCGTCTCACTCATCCCCTGCCGATCGGTGGAGTCAGGTTAGTGTTGCACACTCAGACCCCACTCGGGCTGCTATGCCGTCCGAGTCGGGTCCCTGCATTCTGCCACACTGCCCCACCTCGGGTACGTCTGTCGTGCCGTTGGTCCCACTTGTAGGTGTCTGGGAGCCTGGTTAGCGCTTCCTAGCCCATCTCGCTGGCTCATCCGTACCATCAGACTCGGCTATGCGATTCAGTTTGCCCGGCGTCCCCCGGCCTTCACCAGGCAGAGATTGCAGTCCTACTGGCGAAGGATGCAATCGAGCTGGTCCCTCCAGCCGATATGAAGACCGGCTTCTTCAGCCCATACTTTATTGTACCCAATAAAAGTGGTGGGTTACGACCTATCTTGGACCTACGTGTCCTGAACCGGTCCCTTCACAGGCTGCCGTTCAAGATGCTTACGCAGAAACGCATTTTCTAGTGCATCCGTCCCCAAGATTGGTTTGCAGCGATCGACCTGAAGGACGCGTACTTTCATGTCTGATTCTCCCTCGACACAGACCGTTTCTTCGCTTTGCGTTCGAGGGATGGGCATATCAGTACAAAGTCTTACCCTTCGGGCTGGCCCTGTCGCCCCGTGTCTTCATGAAAGTCGCGGATTTGGCCATTGCTCCCATGTGCGAGCGTGGTGTTTCGAGAGAGCAGTTGTGCAAACACAGGGACATGGTGCTCAGTCACCTCAGCCACCTAGGGCTTCGGGTCAACTGGGAAAAGAGCAAACTCACGTACAACGGGCATGCAGCTTCAGGTCTGTGGACGGGGCCTCAACTGCATTGGCACATCAACTGCCTCGAGTTGTGAGCAGTACATCTTGCGCTGGGCCGCTTCAAAACGCTGCTACTAGGCAAGCATGTACTGGTCCGTTCGGATAGCACTGCGACCGTTGCGTACATCAACCGCCAGGGTGCCATCAACCCGCCATCTCCTCCTCTGGAGTCAAAAGCTTCTTAGGTCGCTTCGTGTCATTTATATTCCGTGCCTGATCAACCGTGCAGCCGACAAGCTATCACGGCAGCGGGTGCTACCGGGAGGATAGCGACTCCATCCCCAGGTGGTCCAGCTGATATTCAAGCGCTTCGGGACCGCACAGGTAGATCTGTTTGCTGCCCCGGACACGTCTCACTGCCAGTTGTTCTATTCCCTGACCGAGGGGTCTCTCAGCACGGATGCTCTGGTACACAGCTGGCCCCGGGGCCTACGCAAGTATGCATTTCCCCCAGTGAGCTTTCTTGCACAAACCTTGTGCAAGGTCAGGGAGGACGAGGAGCAGGTCTTGTTAGTTACGCCGTTTTGGCCCAACCGGACCTGGTTCCCCGAGGACCTGCTCTCTCAGAGACGGGGCACCCTATGGCACCCGCGTCCAGACCTCTGGAAACTCCATGTCTGGTCCCTGGATGGGACGCGGAGGTTCTAGGTGACCTACCCCCCGCGGTAGTTGACACCTTCACTTCCGCTAGAGCCCCCTCTACGAGGTGCCTCTATGCGTTGAAGTGGAACCTGTTCGTTGAGTGGTGTTCTTCTCACGAGGAGAACCCCCGAACTTGCTTGATCAGAGCCGTGCTTTCCTTCCTGCAAGATGGGTTGGAGCGAAGGCTGTCTCCCTCCACCCTTAAAGTGTATGTTGCCGCTATTGCCGCACATCACAATGCAGTTGAAGGTAAGTCGCTGGGAAAGCACGACCTGATCGTCAGGTTCCTGAGGGGGGCGAGGAAACTAAATCCGCCTTGCCCACTCTCTATACCCTCTTGGGATTTGTGTCTGGTCCTTTCGGCACTTCAGAGACCACACTTTGAGCCTTTGCAGTCAGCGGAGTTAAAAATTCTGTCCTGTAAAACAGTACTCCTGGTTGCATTGGCCTCAATCAAGAGGGTAGGGGACCTGCATGTATTTCGGTCGATGAATCGTGCCTAGAATTCGGCCCAGCTAACTCTCACGTGATCCTGAGACCCCGGCCCGGATACGTGCCCAGGGTTCCTACCACTACCTTCTGGGACCAGGTGGTGAACCTGCAAGCGCTGCCTTCGGAAGAGGCAGACCCAGCCCTGGCTTTCTCTGTCCCACCTGCGCTTGCGCCTATACGTGGACGGAACGCAAAGCCTCAGGACCTCAGATCAGCTCTTCGTCTGTTATGGAGGCCAGCAGAAGGGAAAGGCTGTCTCCAAGCAGAGGATGGCCCACTGGATAGTGGATGCTATCACCTTGGCTTACGAAGCCCAAGGCGTGCCCTGCCCACCACTAGGAGTGTCGCTTCTTCTTGGGCACTGGCACACGGCGCCTCGCTGACAGACATTTGTAGAGCTGCGGGCTGGGCGACACCTAACACGTTTGCTAGGTTTTATAGCCTACGTGTTGAGTCGGTTTCTTCCTGTGTGCTCGCTTTAACTAGCCGGTAACACCGAAGTTCCCGCTCTAGTGTCGGCTTGGTGTGCCACTCCCCTCCACATGGAGCGGATACGTGCGCTTTTCTGCTCCAGTCGAGTTCCCCACTTTGGCGAACCCTGTAGAGTTCCTACGCACCCCTTCAGCAGTCAGACGTTGCGGAGCGTCTGACGCCAGGCCTAGTGCTCGTATGCTTGTGTAACTTGTGCTAGGCTGGGTTCCATATGTGATGATCCCTGCGGCGATCCCATATGCATATTCTTCCACGACCAGCTCCCTGCGGTGAGCCCGTGTCTTTCCCTTGGCAGAATCCGCTCTGCCGTCACTGTCCGGTGTAGCCTACCCCTTCTCAGGCTGGAGCCACCCAGTCTGGACTTCCGGCCAGTCCATATGTGTATCCCCACGTTACCTCCCTTCGGGCAGGATGTGGCTTCCGCAACGTCTCTCTCTCCTGGAAAGGCACGCTTTCCCAGTGTTATCCTAGAGTTCCACTGTGTGGGTTATAAAGGCAGTTCGAACTCCCTCTACGCAAGCCTTCCGCCCCAGTCAGTTGGGGGTCTGAGAGTCTTGCGTAGGGCGCTGGATGTGGCAGCAACCGTGGCGTTTTCCATGGGATCCCAATTACGTCGTCATGTCGACGTTACGTCGAACGTGAGCGACTGAAAAGGAACGTCTCGGTTACTATTGTAACCCTCATTCCCTGAAGGAGGGAACGGGAGATGTAACGTTCCGTCACCACGGTTGTTGACCATCGCTGTACGGCCGAACACGTCTCGGCTCCTCAGCGTAAAACAATAGGCACCTGCTGCTCGTTATATGCTCGCGCTGCAGGCAGAGCAGCTGATGCAATTATCGCATGCCGATATGCATTGGCTCGTTTTAATACTCTCGAAGTAGATTGGTCTCTCAAGGCGATCCCGATTACGTCGTCACGTCGACGTTACGTCTCCCGTTCCCTCCAAAACTTTTTTCCTTCACTAATTCATTGCTTTTTAATTTTAGTAATAACAAAATCTTTTACCAAATTACTTGATAAGGCTTTTTGCTTCATTATAATATCAGCACAGTTTACCACTTTTTAACTTTGTCTTCCAAAACTATCAAAATGAATTTTTATTCTGAAATGAAAAACATTAATCATAGAATACTGTAGGTCTATTCAAGCCATTATATTTATGGATTGCATTTTTAAATAAATCAATAGATCCAGACAAATGAGCAGCATGTCATTGACCATTTATCAAACCATGCAACTAAGTGTCAGTACTTTATTTTTAACATAATATTTTACTGTTTTCTCAATGTTCACAGTGGTACCAGAATCCCGAACATGACCTTTTTAATCCATACATAACTCACAGGAAGAACTTCCCTGAGCAGCCCTTTTATATCCTGCATCCTTCATTTATCTGGAAACTTTGGGATATTGTGCAAAGCAACACACTGGAAAACATTCAACCCAACCCTCCTTCCTCAGGATTTATAGGTGAGTCTTTTCACCATTTACATATTTGATCCCTGCACTCAAGAAAATTCTTGTGCCACATGTTGTGATAGTAATTTTTGAGGGATTTGCCATGCTGTGCAGTTCACGCACACATTCAACCCTAATTTAAGCAAGATCAAATGTGTCCCTGCCTACTTCTCCAGCGTCTTCTGTTGACTTACAAATGATAATCACATCTGTTTGTATTCACTGTTCCTCTTGAATTCATTTATGTCTGAAGAGTGCAGGATGTGTGTGTGTGTGTGTGTGTGTGTGTGTGTGTGTGTGTGTGTGTGTGTGTGTGTGTGTGTGTGTGTGTGTGTGTGTGTGTGTGTGTGTGTGTGTGTGTGTGTGTGTGTGTGTGTGTGTGTGTGTGAGCTAATGCTGAAATGTGTTACTAGGTAATATCAATTTGATAGATGCCAGTTTGAGTGATTTCAATCAGAAAAGCAGCTCATGTGGGGAAAGTAAACTCTCCATAAAATTTCTAGAGGATACTTACCTTGCCGGAGGCTGTACTGGCAGAAACAGTGCCTGTGGCAACAAAGAGCCCATGAATGTTCATGGAAACACACATACACACACTTTCTTGTTGTCTCCTTTTGCTTTGCAAGTTCATTGCTAAATCTTAATGAATGAATGGAGGTTTGGCTTAAAACTCAAGATCTAAGAGAGGCAAACAAGCAAATGAACAAATGTTTTGACAGTTAGTATAATTGTGGGTAGTTCATTTATTTTCTTGTATGACTGACATAATATCTGTGTGAATCGGTGCTGTTAATACAAGTTGATGGCTCTCAAACAGACAATCATCATTCCTACACCCATCAAACTTCATTGGTGCTATCAACGGCACAAACCAATATTGCCGGTATTAAGAGAACAACAACGTTCATCTATGTTTTCTCCTCTTTCATTGTATTGAATGTACAGTATTGGATTGTACCTTTAACATACCATTACAGTTTTGACGTAAAGGAATATTGTCATCATTTACTCCCCCCTCATGTCATTCCAAAACCATATGACGTTCCTTCTTCTTAGGGGAACAAAATTTAGCATTATGTGATTCTTTTACAACAAAACAAAAGTAAACAATGCTTTTTTTTTTTTTTTTGTCTTACGTTACATAATGAAATTTCACAAGTTCAGTGCCAACTCGTTTTTGCATAAAGGATTATGGGTGATGGTAGAATATACTTGATGCATCCTTTAAAAAATCTGAATTAAGGATGCAAAATGAAAGCTTCCTTCCAGAGGTCTTGATTACGTGGAAGATATGCAGCCTTACCAGGGCTGCGTTTAAGTCCAATTTTTTACGCCCTTCCCTCGCTAACTTCCCTTCGTCTCGTTCACTCGGATGTACGTCATTGCTTACATTGCATGAGTGCCCACTACAGGCGGAACTCTTACAACTCTTTACGAACCTTTCTATAGGCCTGTATGTATGCTTGGGATGTTAAAAAATTTAATATAAACAAATATCAAATATTAGTATATTAATATATTAATATTTAAATATAAAATTATTTAAAAAATGCAATAAACTATAACTCTATAAAGTATTAAAAAATCAGCCAGCTTAAGATAGCTACATGCATTAAAGGGGTGGTTGATTATGATTTTTACTTTTCTAACTTTTGTTAGGGTGTAATGTTGCTGTTTGAGCATAAACGACATTTGCAAAGTTACGACGCTCAAAGTTCAAAGCAAAGGGAGAAATGTTCTTTTAAAGAAATTGCTTTTTAAGGACTACAACAAACGGCTGGTAGAGACTACACAACATTCCTCCCAGGTTAGTGACATCACGAACCCTAAAATTTACATAAGCCCTGCCCCCAGAACACGATTTATAGATTATCAAGACAGAATATGCTAATCAATGACTAGAAGATAACTACACATAAGCTACATACATTCATCAACTAACCAATCAGAAATGTTGTCTACATGTTGTCACTTCTTGAGTCTCTCCATCTTTCTGACTCCGGTTTGAACATAAAAGGCTAAACGTTTTTGAAATTTTCATTGCATGTCTGTAATCAAAAAAAAGGTAATCAAAGCTGCTAAGGAGACAAGTTGTTGTAGCTCCGCCCTCTGCGCCGGGAGCAGCAGCTCATTTGCATTTAAAGGGACAGACACAAAAACGGTGCGTTTTTACTCACCCTCAAAAAGTGACAACTTTAACATGCTATATATAAATATCTGTGGGGTATTTTGAGCTAAAACTTCACATACACACTCTGGGAACATCAGAGATTTATTTTACATCTCGTGAAAAAGGGCATTATACAACCCCTTTAAATATGGTTAAATACAAAAATAACTTCAATATACACTAAAGTTGTGTGGGGTGGTGGTAAATTAGGCGTGAGCAGCTGTGACATCAAAATAATGGTGCATTGTAGTCTATGGTTCTGCCTGAAGTGTAGTTGAGTAGACTCTGTCAAAATCGTGGGGTCGAGGGTCTATCCAAATAAACTTCCCTTGTCCACTTGATGAAGTTGAACACACTTCAAAATGGAGTTGGGGATTCCCCCGAGGGGAAGTGCTTAGGGAAGTTTGCAAGATCATGTCTGAAATTGGACTTGAATGCAGCGTAGGATGCAGCCTTTCAATTGAGAATATTTGTTTGGGTGAATTCAATACCGCATTGCCTCCCTCTGCACAGGAGGGTGATGTGCTGGATGGTGCAAAGAAGAAAAGTGGTGTCTGCCATGATTTTACTGTACAGCTGCTTAAATATTGAGGAGTTTTTCACCAAAAATGGTCAGATAGACCACTTGGTAAATGATCAGTGAGCCACATGGACCTTTATTTTTACGTACAGTATACTGCCATTGTACTGAATTCACCCAACCAGATATTCATTAAATTATCCGTGTTCAGCAGCAGAAGAAGAAAAAGTTTGGAATGAAGGATTTTCCTTCTATTAAACTATTCCTTCAACATCACCACTAGTGACCAAGTTTGGATATACTGTTTTGGGTCACTGGACTACTTTGAACCAATGATGTGACTAATGATCCACTTGTCACCATCCTTGATCTCCAGCATCTAATGGTGAGATTAGGATCAGGGTACAAATAGAATACAGAAGCCATTGGTGGAGAATTTTACCAGTTTTGAGGGTGTTTCCATGAAATTCACAGCTTTATTCAACATCTTATTCAGATCTGGCCTTAAATTGGTTGGGAACATGAAAACAACATGGGGCCAAGCACATTTATAAGTAATGCACCAGCACATGATCTACACATCCAATTTAACAAGTCACCAGTAGCTGGTTGCACTTTTCTCGCTCTTTGTAACATTTATATTGACAAATCACATACAAATACTGGTTGGTGTATTAGGTCAGACAACAGTTTGACGGCTATAGAGATCACTTTGCTACAGGTCTGATTTTCAGCTTTTGATTGGTAGGCACTCAACAACACTGCACAGACGACTTTGTTATAATTTAGTCAAATATGTATGTTGTGTTTTGACTAAGGTAGGGTGGAGCTGTAACATAGAGGTGTGTGTGTGTGTGTATTGGTTCAGCCCGAGACAGGGGTGCTGCAATCATTTTGGAGACCAATGGAAGGTGGTTCGTAGCCGGCCACTGGGTTGCTATAAGCCCTTCGGTTGAGCTGGATGACAGTAGTTCTTGAAGGCAAAGAGGACTGTCCATTCTCTAGAGAGCTGTGTTTGCAATGAAACAGGATAAGGAAACACCTGTAAAACTGCACAAAACACAGTAAATTACCACTCATATTTTCAGAGACAAAAAAGATGCAGAGCCATTAAAGATTTTGTACATTTGTGTGAAAGGTTGCCCAGAATCCTTTGAATTGCACCTTCTCAGTACATTTTTTTTTCATTCTTTTTATGGCCAATTGTAGTCGGAGTATCTTAATAGTAAGTGTTCACAATAAAGGAACAGACACATATTAAAAAAATCTAGTTTAAAACACATGTGCCAAGTTTTTTTTTAGAATGTACTCATTTTAATGTTGGTTTCATATGGTTTAAAAAAAAACATTCTCTAAAATCTTTATATCATACAAGTAATACATGTAAGTGTACATATCTTAATCTTTCTTTTCTGAGGTAATATATAATGGATTATTAATTCATGAATATTTTTTAAATTTTAAAGGATCATACCACATGACATTTTACAACCTGAACTAAACTCATGTCATAAAAAGGTCAAAATTATCTGATATATTAAGAGCTTATTGACCTTGTCCTTGACGCACTGCAGGGGTCTTTTCTGTGATATAATTTCCTGTTTTATGATTTTTTCCCCGTCTTTTCAAGAATTTCAAAATGCATTTAAATTCAGAATTGAGAAAAACATGGCCATTATTTATTTATATATATATATATATATATATATAATTTGTATTATTATTATTATTATTTTAATTTAATATTTAGTTAATATATAGAAGAAAAGAAATAGAGTCATTGACCAAATAATTATTGACTGAAATGTTTTGAAGCACTTTTTATTTCTGATGAGATGTCGGATGTTAGGTAACAGAGGTGTAGAAATAGCTGTTTACATTCAAACCTATGTGTGTGTCTCTTCACGGCTTCTGTAGTATGCCTAGGGATGCTATTTAAATTCAATCCAGTCTACATTGGCAGGACCTGAACTACAGTAAACAACATAAATCGCACACCCTGCTGGTTCTTAAATGATAGTTGCAGGGTTGATGCTAGTCAATACACTTGGATCACTTTGTTGCCTTGACAACCTATAGATGTGTACACTGAACAAACAAATGGTCTAAGGTGATTGGCTATCCCAAGGGGTGGATGCCCTGTTGTTCATCTCATGAGACCCGATGTCTGATTGGCTGGCTCAGTGGTCTCGACCCATGCATCCAGGCCCCTGATTGGCTTTCATATTGCGTGTGGCTACACTGCCAAGTATTTGATGCGTGTCCTCTGCATGTGTGCGTGTATGTAGTGAGACAACTCTGTGTCTGATCTTGGCAGGGTGCTGTCAAGCTGTGTATGTAGACAGCCTGCAGGCAGATGACAGAGTCTTGATGGAAAACAGTTAAGAGAGTTGGCCAACATTAGACCACATGCAGCTGACAATGTGTACCGTGTAACATAGATTTAACCACAAGATCTTTGAGGAGATTCTTTCATTTACTCACCATAATGTCATTTCAAATATGTATGACTTTCTTTCTTCTGTTAATGTACTGGTTCTTTTTTTTTACAATGACTTGGGTCTGGAGCTTTCAAATTTCTTATGAAGTATTTTGAAATCATATCCACCTTATTCCTGACCAGCTTACTGCATTTTAAATTATGGCTGGCACTTCCGGTTTGGGGAACTTCCATTCAAAAAGACAGAAACAAATCTTTTCAAATCATAAGGTTGCCCTACAAATAAAGCTTATCCATCAGTTGATTTTTGATTAAGGCAACGTATGTTACACAATACAGATATATTACTACAGTGATATTTAACCCGTCCGTTATTGCTGTGGAAAGAATCACACTTTTGGGCTTATTCATGGTCTGTTAAAAATACCTTTGTTGATGCTTTTACACTTTTAAATGTCCTTATAATGTTCGATGGTTGAAGGGTGAGTAGAATATCTCATTGTACCCAGTTAAAAAAACAACAACAACGAATTATTGCATTCAGAGAGCGAGCCTTTCACTGATTGTTTACAGCTTAATGGAAGTTACACCCATAATTCATGCAAAGCGTCATGGGGCGTAGGAATAAGGTGGATATGATGTATGTTTAAAGTTACAGTACACAAAAGATTGTGTGAGGAACAAACTTAAATGCAAGTCATTATTCACTAACAATCTTTCCCTCTGGTGAGATGCTAAAGGTGCCGATATATACTCATGGCAAAGTTCCTTTCATTCTTCGCTTGGAGTAAAAAGTTAAAAATACATTTGCAGCAGTATACTGTTAGCAAACATCCGATTAGGTATGTAAATATGTGCCGCACACCTTCCTCTAAATAACAAAATAACACAACAAAAGTGACAGCAGAGAAAACAGCAGTTAAGAAAGCATCTGATCTTTAGAAAAATAACCCCTGAAATAATGACTTCTGGTGAATATGCTATCATACATTATAGCATATTATAATACAACTTATAAGGCCTATATATTTATAGAATAGCAAAGTAGGCCTAATCAATACAAGACTGAACCACATAGATATATAAAGGCTATCATGATAATTTTGCCAACAATGAACCATGGATTTGTTTCGTTTAATACGTTTTATTTTTAACTTAAAGCTGTAGTCCGTAGCTTTTTTGGGGTTAAAAATGATCCAAAATACATATTTGAGAAAATACATAACCAGCCAGTGTTCAAAACTATCTACCTGCTTTTTTTTTCTGGAGGACAGAGATCCGAACTCAATGTGGATAACGAGAACGCATTAAAAATACAAGGTGTAAACGCAAAGGTAAGATCAGAACACTTATTATCCGGATAACTTATCTGGATACAGATCTCATTTTAATACCAGGTGTAAATGGGGTCTGACAGCCTCACAATCTCCTCAGACATTGTGTTCAACTGTGCCGTGTCGAGGGTGTTGAACTACAACTGACGTAAAGTTGATAATTCCGCGAATGACTGCAATTGCAGATTTCGAACAGAGATGGCGACAAAGAGGGAAAACGCCGGACTGCAGCTTTAAACAAATACAACATATAACATTCAAAACTTATCGGCTTAGACTGCATTTGAAGAAAAATAAACACAACAGTTTTCTGTAGCCTTATTTAATAGAATTTTACTTTTTTCTTTGCAGCCGGTAGTCATTTTCCCTACCCATTTTCATTTTCCCTACATTTCCCACTGTTGTCGTTGCTACGATACGTGACTCACAATGACTAACGACCAATTAAAAGGGCATTCTCTGATGATGTTCCAAGATGTTAAAAACGCTACGCGGCTGATCATAGACAAACGGGGAGAAATTAGTATCTACCGCACCATCAGGTTTTTCTCTTATCATAGCTTACAAATGTCTTCGTTCATAGTCTGTCTGACATATATTAGAAGCTATGTGTCTGTCATGGATTTGCACTGAATTGATTCTCAAAAATATGGAACAAAGTGCGTTCCGTATCAGTTCAATACGGAACAAGACTTTTATGTGTCAAATACGGGACGATTCCGTATTATACGGAACGGTTGGCAACCATAGTTTCTACTATAAAGCAATTATTCAGTGTGTTCATGTTTTACTCGCATCTAACCTCGACAAAATGAACAGAACAAATGAACCGGTGAAGATAAAACCTACCTATTGTGAAATCGCCATGGATCAATGGTCGTTCAAAAGTGTTTACCATCTGAAGCAAAAATTTCTGGAAAGTTCGCTTTGGTAAGCTGTTTCGAACTCACGAAATTAACCCCAAACAAACTTTATTTTGGCCTTATTTTGTTTGAAATGACGTCAATATTTTTTTTTAAAAAGGAAGCATGAAAGTTTACCCCTAAATATAACCGTCACTGGGGAATGAGCAGATCGTACAAAAATAAGTAGTCATAGGAATGAGAATGTTCAAATTCATATAGTTACAGGTTGTGATGAGATTGTGATCAATTTATTATAATATATATATATATTAACTTGGTGTATATCTGTGTGTGTATGTGACAGGTATCGTCCTGATGATGAACCTTTGTGAGGAGGTCCATGTGTACGAGTACATTCCTTCTATGAGAAAAACTGATCTGTGCCATTACCATGAGAAGTATTACGATGCAGCCTGCACATTTGGGGCATACCACCCTCTGCTTTATGAGAAACTGCTTGTTAAGAACATGAGCACAGCTTTTGAGGAGGACCTCAAGAAAAAGGGAAAGGTCACACTGCCAGGATTCAGTAAGATCAACTGTCCACTGTGATTTAAAGGGCCCCTATTATGCTATTTTAAAGTTTCCTTAAGTTGTTGTGGAGTCTCCTACAACATGTTTACATGCATCAAAGGTAAAAAAAACGGTTTAATTTCCTCATAATATATATTTGCACATCATAAATTTTCAATGATTCTCAAACGACTCGTCAAATGAATCATCTCTCAAATTAATCAATCTCTCTAAATCCCTCCTTTCCGCGAGCTACTCTGCTCTGATTGGCCAGACAGCTTAGTCTGTTTTGATTGGCCTACGTCGAAATCAAAAACGCCCATTGCCATAACAACGTCAGCTCTGCTTGTCCTGAGGCTTCCTACACTGTAAACTAAACACAGTAACGAACAATGACGTTGATTTGACCATATCGATGCGAGCGCAAGTCCGATGATGAAACACTGGAAGAGCTCGTTATTCAACCCGAACCTCCATCGCAAGGACGACTTGAGCAGGACGTTTCTCAGTGATACACTACCGGTACTCAGTTTGAGGTACATTATAAGATGTTGCAACTGTAATTCCTCACCATCAGCATTAACAAGTGCGTGTCCATCAACAAACCGATTATTTTACTTGTACTAATTTATTTACCAAGTATTTTTCTAATATATTGCGGTGAATAAGTGGAAACTGTATCAATAACAGTGCATGTATGCAATGTACATTAGCCGCGCTAGAGTGAATGATCTGATGTAACATAAACATTGGTAAAGCAAATATTTCCTCAAAGTAGTGAGAACGACAAACAATCTGCATTAATAGTTTTAGGTAATAGTGGCCCACAACTGCTCAACAAAAGTATTTCAGTAAGACCGTAATAATGCGAGTTAGCCAGTTAGCAGGAGACCTACACAATATAAAACTCAAAATTAAGTGTTTTGAACACCATCTTTCAAGAGCAAGCAGTTTGCGAATCCTGCATTGAACTCCGAGATTTGAGAAGCAGTCGTCAGTAAAATAAAGGGAACACAGCAAAAGTTTAGGATTATACTGCTGTGATATCGTGGTAAAGATGCATTTTAACCACTGATTCTTCACATGATCTTCCTTGGGCAGTGAAAAAAAACCTGGCTTTACCTTCACATTATAGAGCACAGCCTCTTCTCGCGTGATGCTGTCCAGTATCCACAGGTATCAGCTGCCGGTTGACGTCACAACGAAACGACTTATGACTCGTTTGCAAAACGAATCATTGAATTGACTCAGAGTCGACTCTTACTTTTGAAAGACAATAACTTAATATACGGTGCACTTTCAGATTTAAAACTTTGCAGGATGTTTTCATTCACTTAGAGCTATGTTACACACTACATGAAAGGTTATTTTCAAAAATCCATAGTAGGGCCCCTAAAGACATATCACAGTACAAACCCATCTGATCTAAACTAACGCAGACTTTTGTCATCTAGGGTTTTACATATAGTTCTTATAACAATCTGAGACAAGACATTATAATCAGGAGGATACAGTACTTTCACAGAAGTCTTGATGGGAGGCTTCATCTCATATGGCCCTTATACTAAAAGACTGGCAAAATATTCAGAACTGACCTCAATTCACAGATGCTGTGAATACAAAACATGTTTGTGATGCAGGACAAGACGAGAGTTTCAAAGTAAATTCTCAATTTACTTGGACGAGCTACTGAAATTAGCACAGAGATTGTAAATATAAACATCCACTTACACTATTTCCTGAGTGGAATCCAATTTTAGTTTGCGTTATAATTATAACAAAGAAAAAAAGTGTGAAGAGAGTATTGAATAACTTAAGTTTTAAATTTCCCAAACGTTGGGATTTTTTTATCATTGTCATTTAAAGGTTCATTGTGTAATATTTAGGAGGATCTGTTGACAGAAATGCAACATCATATACATAACTATGTTTTCAGTGGTGTATAAAGACCTTACTTAATGAACCGTTATGTTTTTATTACCTTAAAATGAGCCATTTCCATCTACATTACACCATGGGTCCCCTTACATTGAAATAGCCATTTTGCGCCAACATGTTTCTACAGTAGCCCTAAATGGACAAACACGTTCATCACTATGTTGTTCTTCAACAAATAAGCTAGATAAAGTCAGCAAATAAAACACTGACACAATAATGAACACGTATCAATAATATTCGCAATAACATATCAATTAACTGAATAATTAAGTAAACCTAATTTCTTAATTTATTTTGTAAAGAAACCTCATTGCTTAACTGGCTACTATCTGCTGTCTCAGACGACGACATCTTTTCCTGTCGGCCACCTTACCTTCTGTTGGTTGCAATTTGCAACCTTACCACTAGATGCCGCTAAAAATTACACTGCACCTTTAAGGCTGCTCACATTTTGTAAAGGATGATTACCTTTTTTTATTTGAATGTTTAATGTGGTAACTGGAAAGAGATTTCTAATTTCTGTGCTGTTCTCATAATCTTTTGTGGTACATTTTTATTAAATCTTTTGCACTTCTCATCAATTAGATGACACTTTTAAAGCTGTTATTATACTATAGAGCCAAAATAATTGGATTTTTACTGTAGATAATTGAGCAATGTTTTTTTTAATTTAATTTAATTTAAATTTCATAAATTACTATGAATACTACCGACAGATCTATCTGAGAAGCTGGACTCAAGTGCATATCAATTCTATTATCCTTTTTTTATCTACTTGTTGCTCTTTATACCGTAATTAAAAACTTGGTACATGTATTTTAAACGCATGCAATGTATTTTCACAGAAAGAAAGTTTTGTTTTAATCTGCACCAATACTTATCTGCGGTTATTGTCTAAAAAACTCACATTTTAATAGGGCAGGGGTCGGCAACCTATGGCACCTATTTACCGAGGGTTAATCGCTGGCATGTAAGCAAAAGCAAGAGAGGTGTATGTATTTCATTCAGATAAAATACCTTGTACCTGCATACAGATGTAAATGGTGTAAATGGAACAGTTTTACCAAAACGGATAGCCATCTGATCATTTAAACGCATGCATGACCAGGTGTAAATAGGGCATTTGGAAATCTGTTCTTCAAAGTCTAATTTAAACCTGAAAACAAACAAACTAAAGGATTTTGAAAAATGTAAAACAAATTTTATGAAAAATTGCTTAAGGAATATTTAGGGTTCTGTTCTAAGGTTCTATTTCTATGTTAGCCATTATGAATATTTAAAATATGTTTATGTGTTTATGTGGGGTTACTAAGTTTAATACTCAGAAACTTAAAAATGGCACTTCATGACTAAAAGGTTGCCGACCAAGGGTTTAATATTATTTATAATTTCTTACAATCATTCCAGTACTTGACATTGTTACTTCTATAGGGTGGTAATTTGTTCTTCATTGTTGTGGATGTAAGTTTATACTGAATAAAGACAATGAAATCAATGTATTTAGTGGAAGGAATGTTAATTTAAGCACCCATGTGGTTATGTATATACAGTATATATTTCTCAATGTATATCATAAGAAAACATATCCTATGATTCAGTGCTAATTAAAAAGTTGGAAATGTCTAACCTGTTTGTTCATAAGGATGTAAATAAGAGGGTTGATGACTGTGCTGCTTTTGGCAAGTAGGGACGGCACCACGCTCGCAATGGGTGTGATGATCCCCGGATGTCCAAATGTGGCCATCATTGCAACAACCCCATAAGGCATCCAGCACAAAAGGTAGCACACCACTGTAGTGATGACCATAAATAAAATGTGGTACTCTCTCCGCCTTGCTGCTGTCTTCCTGATACGCCCTACCTGAGGAAAAACATGTAAATTAGATTGTATTTTTTGTTTGCACCAGCAGATGATTCAGAACAAGTCTTCAGGATACGCAAATCCCTCAAGAAAGAATGAACCTACATTGTGGTTTAGAGGAATCACTGACTCATCAGGTTCATGAACATCATTTATTGATATTTATAAAGATTTCAGCAATTTCACATATTTATGAGTGTATGAACATATTTAGTAAAGTACATTCCAAATATAATGAACCACATTTAACAAATTGATATAGGCTCTTCTGTATTATGTAAATGTTGTTCATTATATTTGGAATGTATTTTACTATATCTGTTCATACACTCATAAATATGTATGAACAGATATAGTAAAATACACCCTAAATATGATGAAACACATTTAACAAATTGATATAGGGTCTTCTTTATTATGTAAATGCACAATGTTTCATGTTCACTTTAAAAGCTAGAATCTAGAACAGTGCATTCTTAAAAATAAAGGTTCTTTATTGCCATTGATGGTTCCATGAAGAACCTTCAAAAGCCAATGAACCTTTCCGTTACATAAAAGGTGCTTCATGGTGCAAAAATGTTCTTTAGATTATTAAAATGTTCTTCACACTAATAGAAAATGGTTCTTTTTAAGAACTGCTCATTTAGGGTATGTTTAGGGTTTGGTTAGATTAAATTGAACACTGGTGCGATTGCTCTGTTAGTGTGGTTCATTTGAATAAGTGTGAACATTGCCATCCGAACCCTCGTTTGGTGCGGTCCGAATGAAATTTGAACGCAACATGGAGAAAAGACATGTAAACGACCAAAAAGCGGGACATGATGTCACAAGATGCGACCCTAAAAAGGACTGAATGCTCAAGCATACCAGTTTTTTTCTTGTCATGTCATAATGTTGCCCATCTCAGTTCGGTACAGGCATCAGAACAGCGTCTCCTCGCAGCAGATCTTCGTTTGTGTGTGTGATGGAGGGATTCTTGCCGCTGTTCTGACTCTTTTACACATTTTATAAGCTCTTCGTGAGTTCTCAGCTGGTTAAAATACCATCATATGTAGGCTACGCACATAAATGAGTGCATTTAGCCCAGCATACAGCATTGTTTTGGATGTTCGGTAAGTTCCGTCATGAAATAGTATACGTATAATAAAAGCCGAACAATCAGGTTGGAAACATATCCCTATGACTTTATGTTCCGTATCTTTAGGTTCGAATGCTAAGCGGACCAGGATTAAATGTTTTTTGTTTTGTTTTTTGGTCTGGACCAAACGAACCAAGCGAACCATACTACAAGTGTGAACACACCCTTAAAGGTTATTTAGGGAACAAAATTAGTTCCTTCTACGGCATCGCATTAAAAACACCCTTTTGGAAACTTTATTTTTAGCACTGACTTATCTAAAAAAAATTCGCCTAGAGGGTGTGGATTCCAGATATCACTGACTTAACATAACATAATTTGAACATAATTTGAGGTGGTTTAAACTTTATCTGGAGTCTGAGATACTGACCTAGTTTAAGCTAAAAGAGACATGGTTTAGTTCCAGAAAGGATTGTAAACGTCTCCGGTTAAGACTGTAACCCTAGTTCCCTGAGTAGGGAACAAGACGATGCGTCGATGACGGTTTGGGAACGCCCCCGCGTAATTGCGTCTGAAGCACGTGTCAACTAGTCCAATGGCGAGAATGAGCGTCACGGGCGGATGACGTCATGACCAGGAAAGATTAAAGCATATCCGGTTTAGAACCGCGCTAGCTTCGAAAAAGGCAGAAGCAAGTCGATCACAGGGATGTAGGAAGTATGGCAAAGTGACACATCGTCTCGTTCCCTACTCATGGAACTAGGGTTACAGTCGTAACCTGAGATGTTCCCTTTTGAGGGAACTCGCGATGCGTCGATGACGCTATGGGAACGAGAATGCCATACAGCCAAGAACCTGTCGTGTTAAACTTTCACGACATGAGAACTCTGGACCCCGGGCTATCCATGTCTAGGTAAAAAAAATCGGACAAATGTAAGCGGCGAAGACCAGCCAGCTGCATCACAAACTTCTTGAATGGACACCCCAGAAATTAGGGCCTTGGAGGCCGCCATACCCCTAGTAGAATGGGCTCTAGTGGCCAAAGCTGAAGGCTGGCCCAGAACCTCATATGCAAGAGAGATAGCCTCGACTATCCACTTGCTAACCGTCTGCTAAGTCTTGATTAGACTTTCTCAACTGGGCAGATCTGTAGACATGTGTATCCAGTGCTCTGACTGGACAGATGAGGTTCAGTTTCTCCTGGTCTAAATCCTTGAAGGGAGGAGGACAAATCGCCTGCAGTAAGATAGGCTGTGGTACATTGTTTGGAACCTTAGGTACATAACCGGGTTTAGGATAGAGGAACGCTTTGACCATCCTGGGTGCAAACTCAAGGCATGAAGGAGATACCGACAGGGCCTGGAGATCTCCTACTCTTTGGCTAGAAATGGCTAGAAGGAACACAGTTTTGAGGGTCAGAAATTTTTCTGAAACAGACTCGAGAGGCTCAAAGGGAGTGACAGAGAGACCTTCTAGAACAAGAGCCAGATCCCAAGCTGGAATTCTGGTACGAACTGCAGGCATGAGCCTCAGGGTGCCACGAAGGAAATGTATAATGAGAGTATATCTTCCGATAGATAAACCCCCCAAGGGGGCATGGTAAGCAGCAATAGCCGCAACATAGACCTTCAGTGTGGAAGGAGGGGCGGGGTTGGAGAATTGCTCCCCCACCTGAGATAGAAGGTCCCTCCTGACCGGCAGCTCCAGGGGAGAGCCGTCGAGAAGTGATATTAGGTTTGAGAACCACACTCGGCTTGGCCAGTACGGAGCTACTATCTCTTTTACAACTGTGAGGATTGAAGCGACATGAGCAGGCGAGAGCATGGCCCTTAGTGTCACTGACTCCCACACGACACCAAGAAAGGTGGTCCTCTGTGCCAGAGAAAGTACACTTTTCTTGGCATTCAATCTCAATCTCAAAATATGATGCTCAGCACATCTAGTTCCTCAGAACTAGACAGCTGAAGCACCAGTTCCTCTTCCGGAGAGGAAGGAAACGCGGGGCGGGCTTCCAACTCCGGAGAGAGAGCACTGGATCCCACGGGTAAAGGCTGAGAAAGGGCGGGGCCCGTCTCAAACCCCGCCGTGAGATCCATTTGCCCGATCCACAGAGAACGCTCACTTGAACACCCTCCTCGAAGAGTGACAAGCGAGAGTGGAGCGTGCGAAGCGACAGCCTCTCACAATGCTCACAATCAGCCCCTTCGAAGGCTGACAGAGCATGCTCCGCTCCCAAACACATCACACAAAGTTCGTGTGTATCTCCACCCACGATGTAACGAGGGCAAGGAGAAGCACACAACTTGGAAGACTGTTTGGACGCCATTATATCTTAGATTGAGCTGTATATATATCGTGACAGACAACAATAAATAAGACAGACAGTTTGTAACACAGAGTGCTTGCTGAGGCACAGAAGCTAGCGCGGTTCTAAACCGGATGTGCTTTTATCCTTTCCTGGTCATGACGCCTGCCTGTGATGCTCATTCTCGCCATTGGACTTGTTGACACCAGAGCCATAGAGAGAAAGAGTTGCGACACTCCCATAGACCGCCATATGAACTTAGGAATGCGGAAGTAACGCGTGTCGTGGAGCAGCCAATAGTTCCAAACACTGATAGTTCTAGCATTGAACCCCATTCATTTTCAGTGTTTCCGAAGTACGCTCGCTGGTAAATTAATGAAATTACGGTATTTTTTTTACTTTTACACACATTAGCCGACCTCTCGTGAATCTAGTCTGTAGTTATATTTTATGTAGCCAGTTTTAGTAAATGTTTATTGGAAGATAATAGGTTAATTGCAGCTATAGCTTACGTGACCAACACTTCACTAACGTTAGCTAACTTACGGTAACTGATGTATATAATATATAATATTTTTAATAATATTTTATATGTATGTATATATATATATATATATATATATATACACTCACCGGCCACTTTATTAGGTACACCTGTCCAACTGCTCGTTAACACTTAATTTCTAAGCAGCCAATCACATGGCGGCAACTCAGTGCATTTAGGCATGTAGACATGGTCAAGACAATCTCCTGCAGTTCAAACCAAGCATCAGTATGGGGAAGAAAGTTGATTTGAGTGACTTTGAACGTGGCATGATTGTTGGTGCCAGAAGGGCTGGTCTGAGTATTTCAGAAACTGCTAATCTACTGGGATTTTCACGCACAACCATCTCTAGGGTTTACAGAGAATGGTCCGAAAAAGAAAAAACATCCAGTGAGCGGCAGTTCTGTGGGCGGAAATGCCTTGTTGATGCCAGAGGTCAGAGGAGAATGGCCAGACTGGTTCGAGCTGATAGAAGGGCAACAGTGACTGAAATAACCACTCGTTACAACCGAGGTATGCAGCAAAGCATTTGTGAAGCCACAACACGCACAACCTTGAGGCGGATGGGCTACAACAGCAGAAGACTCCACCGGGTACCACTCATCTCCACTACAAATAGGAAAAAGAGGCTACAATTTGCAAGAGCTCACCAAAATTGAACAGTTGAAGACTGGAAAAATGTTGCCTGGTCTGATGAGTCTCGATTTCTGTTGAGACATTCAGATGTTAGAGTCAGAATTTGGCGTAAACAGAATGAGAACATGGAACCATCATGCCTTGTTACCACTGTGCAGGCTGGTGGTGGTGGTGTAATGGTGTGGGGGATGTTTTCCTGGCACACTTTAGGCCCCTTAGTGCCAATTGGGCATCGTTTAAATGCCACGGCCTACCTGAGCATTGTTTCTGACCATGTCCATCCCTTTATGGCCACCATGTACCCATCCTCTGATGGCTACTTCCACCATGTCACAAAGCTCTAATCATTTCAAATTGGTTTCTTGAACATGACAATGAGTTCACTGTACTAAAATGGCCTCCACAGTCACCAGATCTCAACCCAATAGAGCATCTTTGGGATGTGGTGGAACGGGAGATTCGCATCATGGATGTGCAGCCGACAAATCTGCGGCAACTGTGTGATGCCATCATGTCAATATGGACCAAACTCCCTGAGGAATGCTTCCAGCACCTTGTTGAATCTATGCCACGAAGAATTGAGGCAGTTCTGAAGGCAAAAGGGGGTCCAACCCGTTACTAGCATGGGGTACCTAATAAAGTGGCCGGTGAGTGTATATATAGCCTATATATAATATTATATATACATACACACACACACAATTCATTTATTTAAATGGGTTAGGGTTATGCATATATGTGCTTATATGTATTTAGGAACATAGTTAATTCACTCTCCGGTTTAATTTTATGAAGAATATTTTTCGGTTGAATATTTACCGAACATTGCTGTATATAGTCGTTTCTTTCTACGTTATGGGAGCAGTCTATTTCCCTCCTAAATCATTCATTTGTACATGCACAGCGTAATTATTTATATTTTATGTTGGTTGGAATTCTGAACGGACCGCCACTGCAGACCTCTTTGCGTGATCACGAAGGTAGGCTAATGGCTGAATCGGAATTTATAAGCAAGATCACGGGAATCAATAGCCTAATACAGCCCAGTTGTGCTAAAATAAATATCATGAGACGTCCATCATCAGATGAATGACATGGAAAAGTTAAGTTAGAGCCGCTAAAGCCAGTGCTACTACCCATGCGAACATGAACACTAAGCTTTTCCCTCCAAAAATATAGCCTAAAAGTTGTCACCCTGCCTCTCCAAATGCAAAACTGACATTAACAAAATGCAATAACAGCTGAAAAAGTACTTGGGTGTGTGTTTTATTTTATATTTACCGTTTAATAATGCAATCGCTGCTGTCTGTCCATTGAAGAACATGACAGGCCGCGTATGTTTTGGAACTATTGGGGCTTACATGAACCACGTGACAGCCGTCGCGGCGACATCAAAGCGTGTCACAACTCTTTCTCTCTATGGCTCTGGTTGACACGGCTTCAGACGCAATCACGCAGGGGCGTTCCCAAAGCGTCATCGACGCATCGCGAGTTCCCACGAAAGGGAACTGCACTGCAGGCAATAGTTTTGAGTTGTGAAATCTGACTTTTTTAAACTCCTTACCCTGTTATGTAGAAATGTTACACACATAATTATATTGTAATATTAACTTTGAACTGATATGTTTTGATGGAATTTACCTGTTTGACAGCACAGAGGAGCCGGCTGTAACAGTACACCATGACCAGCACGGGGAGTCCCAAACAAAAAATGAACAGGCAGATGATATAGGAATGTGACTGGGGGGTGTTGGCAGTCCATGTGACTGAACAGCTGGTTCCTGCCCCTTCCAGTCCATAGCTACTCCAGCCCAGCAGGGGGGGGACCGTCCAGAACAATGAGTAGAGCCAGGAGCCCCCGACAGCCAACAAGGGTTTGCTGTAGTCTGGGGCTCTCTTGTTGTAAACAGTTAAAGTGCTGTAACGATCATACGAAAGGATTGCCAGAGAGATCAATGATACAATCCCTGTTAAAAAAATGAAAAGAGAAATTAGGCTGTATGCTCACAGTTAAACTACAGAGCCACAGTTAAATAGGAGGTTATTCAGACACTGCATATCTGTTATTATTTAGCATCGGGCTTTAAAACTGAAGTGCATGTAATATTATATTAATTATTATAATGACATAATATAATAACAACTTTATAATAATAATAACATATAATAATAATGACCTCCTAATGCCAAAATCACAAATATGATGACTCCCTCATGAGGGACCCCCTTTCTAAAATATAAAGAATGTTAAATATTGTATATGATCAATAAATATTGTTTCAAATGAGTTTTAGAGAGAATATTCCTTTAGAAATTACAGTGATGAGCAGTGTTGGGGAAAGTTACTTTTTAAAGTAATGCATTACAAAATTGCATTACTCCCTAAAAGAGTAACTAAGTTACTTTTTAAGGAACATAATGTATTACATTATTTTTGTGTTACTTTCTCTCACCTTGCTGGTTTGTTATTTAATCACAACAATAACAAATGTAAAGGCCCTTTCAGACCAAAAATTAAATGAATAGGCCTCATGCTGAATAAAATGCAAAGGAACTCCTGTACATTATGGCACAGCGCAAACAAACATTACAGCTTTGTTGCCATTCTGGATTGCAGAAGAGTTGGGCAGGAGAAGAAGGTTCAACACTCTTTCTTCCAAAAAACCTCCCCACAAATGTGATGTTTATCTAAAGTCATTTTTGCTTATTAGTATGGATGAATTGGATCAGCAGCAAAGACATTGGTTAAACCGATTATATTAAACAAAGTACATTTGTGTAATTTAACATTTAATTATCACAGGTTTGCATTTCACTGTTTTTTTTCTTCATTTTAAGGAATAATGAATCTGTTTTTGTCAGGACTTCGATTTAACGTCTTATCCGAAGGACGGTGCTTTTTGACAGTAGTGTCCCCATCACTACACAGGGGTGTTAGGACCCACACAGACCACAGGGTGAGCACCCCCTACTGGCCTCACTAACACCTCTTCCAGCAGCAACCTGGTTTTCCCAGAAGGTCTCCCATCCAGGTACTAACCAGGCTCAACCCTGCTTAGCTTCAGTGGGCAACCAGTCTTGGGCTACAGGGTGATATGGCTGCTGGATGAATGCATGTGACTACAATAAGCATCATGTTTAGACAGCACACCTCTGCAACATACTCCCGATTTCTCTCCACATGAGGACAGGAGAGCTGTCATTCAGTAAATGGGTACAACAAAGTATATTGTGTTACCTATTTGAAAAAGTAACTTTTGTTGTAAATTTAAAAGTAATGCATTACTTTACAAAAAAAAAGTTATCTGATTACGTAACTCGCGCTACTTGTAATGTGTAACCTCAACACTGGTGACGAGGAGAAAGTTCCTTCATAGAAAGACAAAACAAAGGACTATTTTTCAAAGGACGGAGAGATGACTGTTTACAAATAAATAAATAACAATTACAAACCTTTATGCACTATTTGTTTTTTATTTCTTAATGTTTGTCTTTATTTTTAATGTTAAAAACTAGAAAGCAAAATGAAACGATAACATCAATATTGTCACAATTATATTCAGTTTAGTTTGGTTTTCAGTCCTTGTGTTCATCTCCTGTCTGTGTGACTGATGTGTTGCTATGGGTTCTGATTTAATTGTATTATCCTGTTCAGAGGAGTTCACCTCGTTAACCTGTATATTTAAGTTCCTGTGTTTGAATCTTCATTTATCTGGCATCGTCAGTGTTACGTGGTTGTACTACTTTGCCTACCTGTCTTTATACGAGTTTGTTCTTTGAATCTTTACTATTAAAGACTAATTAGTATCTTGATCTTTATTGTTGTGCTTTGGACTTCCAAGAGTGACAAATATATGCTACTTTCCCCCCCTTTAAATTTTTTTTGAAATCCCCTAAAATAAATAACCCCAAACCCACTGAACACCCTAAAGTGAAACCCCTATTTAATTCATCCACCTCTTGAACTTTAGGATAATAAATGATCAGGAAAATAAAATCAGTACCGGTCTGTTAATAAAAGCAATTTAGTTTGAATGTCTACCGGTATTTATCTGCATTTGTACATCATAAAAATTAATAAAATAAAGAATATTTCAGACAATGCACATAAATTCATTGCCTGAAAAAAAGCAAACATTATATAATAAAACATTTGGGTGTGTTGTAACATGTTAAGTAATTGGGAATAATTACAGGGAATAAAATACAATCTGCCTTTCTATTCACATTGGCTTCCAAAAAAATAACTTAATGTCAAAGTGATGTTATGATTTAAGAAACAAAAATTAGAAATGACTCCCACATAGCTATTTTAAGGAACAAAGTGGGCTATTTCAAGCATAAAGTGGGAAAAATACCACAGTCCCATTTTGTTGCTATTACATATTAATGAAAATGCCTTTAAGCAACACTCTTTCACTGATGTTCTTCAAAGGGCAAGTGTGGAATATTTCAGACTGGGTGATGAGACATACCTTGCATTCATTTGTATGTAAATAAGTTCATTCATATCATGCCAAAACAGATTCTTCTCCAACATTCAGATTTCAAAATTCATTATGGACATTAATTCACCAGATATTCACCAGAATATGAAGGGAACATTAACTGTTCCTTGGTTTTCACCCTTTAATTATGTAAAAGCCTGTGTTAATAAAGATCTTTGAGTCTGTTGATGGAATCTTAGGCTGTCGCATTTGTGACTGTGTATGCAAGAAACGGCACACAAGAGTACAGCCAAACATGTTTCCACTCCAGAAACACACAGAAGAGGATTACAGGGTAATTTTCATATTCTGAGTGTGTTGTTGAACATTGTCAGACACTGCAGCTTACATTCTGAAGAATGTTAAAGAGGACCTATTTTTTTCTTAACTCCCCGAAACGCCTCGATTGTAGTCTTGAGTTTTCTTCTAGGAATGTACACGTAACAATATTCCTCATTTAAGTAATTCCCGCCCAAGGCATACACATAATGAAGGGGATGAGGTCTGGTGAGTTGTGGTAATACTGTGTAAGTAGCATGACATTTCTGAAACATGGTCAAAACTGCACCAATCACAAAAATGGTGTAGAAGCAGAAATGTGAGTGTTGTGTATTCATTAAATACTTGTCTTTCACATGAATCCTTCGTAAAAAAAAAAAAAAAACCTTTGTGAGCTGTTGTCTAAATTATTATTGTGGGGAAACTACTACACCGGGGGCCTGTACCATGAAGGTAGCTGAACAAACCCGGGGTTACAGGATTAGTTTTGAGTTGACAAAACCATACCGATGGAATAAGGCTTTATTGGTACCATGACGCAGCTCATCAACTTTCTCTGTCAACTCAGGCTTTGATCTTTAAGCTACGATTACTCCACGTGTGCATGCACATACAAAAGTGACGTTGGCACCGAACAACCAATCGCGTTTGATATGGATAGGGCGAGAGCGATATATTTTTCAGTGGAGGAGCAAGAGATAATCATTCAGAAGTGCGATGAATTTAAACATATTTTAAGATCGAAGCAATACCGTCTCTGCTGCCAAAGCAAGATAAGACTGTTGGAGAAAGATTGCTGAATGCGTTAATGCGTAAGTTAATCAAATAGGTCCAATATTGTTTGTTAAATTATGTATATATACTCACCTAAAGGATTATAAGGAACACCATACTAATAATGTGTTTGACCCCCTTTCGCCTTCAGAACTGCCTTAATTCTACGTGGCATTGATTCAACAAGATGCTGAAAGCATTCTTTAGAAATGTTGGCCCATTTTGATAGGATAGCATCTTGCAGTTGATGGAGATTTGTTGGATGCACATCCAGGGCACGAAGCTCCCGTTCCACCACATCCCAAAGATGCTCTATTGGCTTGAGATCTGGTGACTGTGTGGGCCATTTTAGTACAGTGAACTCATTGTCATGTTCAAGAAACCAATTTGAAATGATTCGAGCTTTGTGACATGGTGCATTATCCTGCTGGAAGTAGCCATCAGAGGATGGGTACATGGTGGCCATAAAAGGGATGGACATGGTCAGAAACAATGCTCAGGTAGGCCGTGGCATTTAAACGATGCCCAATTGGCACTAAGGGGACTAAAGTGTGCCAAGAAAACATCCCCCACACCATTACACCACCACCACCAGCCTGCACAGTGGTAACAAGGCATGATGGATCCATGTTCTCATTCTATTTACGCCAAATTCTGACTCTACCATCTGAATGTCTCAACAGAGATCGAGACTCATCAAAACAAGGCAACATTTTTCCAGTCTTCAAATGTCCAATTTTGGTGAGCTCTTGAAAATTGTAGCCTCTTTTTCCTATTTGTAGTGGAGATGAGTGGTACCTGGTGGGGTCTTCTGCTGTTGTAGCCCATCCGTCTCAAGGTTGTGCGTGTTGTGGCTTCACAAATGCTTTGCTGCATACCTCGGTTGTAACGAGTGGTTATTTCAGTCAAAGTTGCTCTTCTATCAGCTTGAATCAGTCGGCCCATTCTCCTCTGACCTCTAGCATCAACAAGGCATTTTCGCCCACAGGACTGCCGCATACTGGATGTTCTTCCCTTTTCACACCATTCTTTGTAAACCCTAGAAATGGTTGTGCGTGAAAATCCCAGTAACTGAGCAGATTGTGAAATACTCAGACCGGCCCATCTGGCACCAACAACCATGCCACACTCAAAATTGCTTAAATCACCTTTCTTTCCCATTCTGACATTCAGTTTGGAGTTCAGGAGATTGTCTTGACCAGGACCACACCCCTGAATGCATTGAAGCAACTGCCATGTGATTGGTTGATTAGATAATTGCATTAATGAGAAATTGAACAGGTGTTCCTAATAATCCTTTAGGTGAGTGTATATCTATAGCTACAAATGCAAACATTAATTCACTATCTAATTATTTTTGTTTTTGCCTTAGAGAGCAATGTATAGCTGAAATCTGAAAACTACACCCATCGATAACTCTGATTTTA